ACAGACGGGCATCAGTAGATCTTATATGCCTACATATTTATATCAATACTGATACCACAACAATATCTTGTCAATACAAAATATCAATATCTTAATTAAAAGTTGTTGTTCCTTTGAACAGCAGCTGGTGTTTACAGAGTACCGATGTCACCTGTGAAATGAAACGAACAAAATCTTTTTCTCTCCACTTTGTCTTCACACCAGTCCCCGCTATGATCACGTCCTACCCCAACACCACATTGGCCACGCAGGGCGAAGAAAAGAAGATGAGCTGCACGGCCCACGGTGAGAAACCCATCATGGTGCGCTGGGAAAAGGAGGAACGCATCATCAACCCTGAGACCAGCCGTTACGTGGTTTCTGTCAAGGAGGTGGGCGATGAAGTCATCTCCACCCTGCAGGTAGGAGGCTGAAGTGGTCAGTCTGAGATTATATTTTGTTGGTGTATGATGATGGTTTAATATTTGGCGCAGTTTCCATGTGAGTTAAATTAGATTTAAACCTAATCTAATTGTTAGACTGTATTTAAAGATGGATACTGTATGTTTGCCATCTATGGGGATGTGCTGGGATGAATCTGTAGCATCGTCACATCATTAGAGACATAAGAACAAAGGGAATATTGTATTTTTACATTTACATTCAAGGCCACAAACATTCAAAAGCCAAAAACGATGGGAAACAATTTTCTAAATGATGTTTCACATCCTGCCAAGATCCTTACGCTGAGGCAACATCCCAAAATATAAAGATACAACAATTATTCTCACTTTGTTACTTCGGCAATACTATTGGACCAAAAGGCATCCATTAGATGTATTATTCTACACCCATTCATTATTCACGTCCTGTCGTTCCTCTGCATCCACTAGATCATGCCCACAGTGAGGGAGGACTCCGGCTTCTTCTCCTGCCATGCCATTAACTCTTTTGGTGAAGACAGAGGAATCATACAGCTCACGGTACAAGGTATAACTTCACCTGACTGAAATGCTCAAATAAAGCCATAGATCCTTTTAAGCCTCACAATAATGCATCCTCCAGTAACACTGAGTTAACTTTGGGCCTTGTAGAGCCCCCGGACCCCCCAGAAGTGGAGATCAGAGAAGTGAAAGACAGAACCATCGCACTGCGTTGGACGATGGGGTTCGATGGCAACAGTCCAATAACAGGCTTTGATATTGAGAGCAAGAATAAATCAGGTACAGTGAAGCTTATTTAAGTCCATAATTACAACATACTGGTGTAATACCAATCTGGAAAACAGCTAAGCCAGTAGAGAGACGTGAATTATCAGTGCATTCATTTAATCTCAAAGCTATAATTTAATGCACTTAGCCTGATTTGACCTCTTGAGTTCAGGCCCACCAATAAAACTTGGCCTTTCCCCCTCAGCCTCCTGGGATACTGCACAGAAGACCAAAGACGTCTCCCCTCAGCTCAACCAGGCCACCATCATCGACCTTCATCCTTCGTCCACCTACAACATCCGCATGTTTGCCAAGAACCTGATTGGGAAGAGTGAGGCCAGCAATGAGCTCACCATCACCACTGATGAAGCAGGTGAGAATTAAGAGATTGAATCCCTCACAAAGCCAAATGCATTCTGTGCTGTTTTTCTCTGCAGAGCTAAATAATGCAAGCACGCATTTATCTGATTTTCAGGACTGTGAATAATGTACAGTAAGACAAAACTCGGTGTAGCAAAAACGCACGGTGAAAGACAACAATCAGAGTGTGAGCAGCGAATTAGAGACAGGAGGCAAAAGGAGGTGAAGAGCCAACTGTGTCACTTCATTAACAGCCCGGTGACATCAGCCCATCGGCTCTGATGCATTATTGAACACACGCTGACCCTGCACTAAAAGCAAAACTTTTCAATTAGCAGCCTCGGTAGTAAATGTCACACTCTGGTCAATAGAGAAAAGCAGGAGGGAAATTACCCCCCAAGTGCTCCCCACTCTGGCAGCCTCCCCTCACCCTCAGCAGCCACCTACATATACAAGCTCCATATATTTATCCACAGCCTCACTCATTCAGTTGGTTCGATGTGCACACTTTAATCAGACGTTTATGTCGTTGACATGATCTCAGCTCCTGATGGTCCACCTCAGGATGTGCAGCTGGAAGCCCTCTCCTCCCAGAGCATCCGAGTCACATGGAGGGTGAGTTCAGCTGATCCTGTGTGTTACCATAGACTGAATGTGTGCAGTCTTTAGCTGTATACATATAGATACAGATTTATCTCCAAATCCAGTGCTGTTCTCTCCACTGTGTCCATAAGCATTTAACCTGCTGCTCCTGTGGATTAGCTCAGCAGCGAGCAGAGTAGCTCAGCTCAGGTGTTTCTTTATTTTACTTTGAGGATTTGAAGCAGTTTGCTGTAGGATATTTTATTACTCTGCTTTTTCAGAAGAAGTTACAATATTTGCATCTCTCATCTGCTTAGTTGAAAGTCTGGGAATCCATTATTGCAATGTGCAATAACATGTGGTCTTGTTTAAAGCTTGCATTGTTGTATTTCAAAGCAATTCAATTCATGCATCCACGTCATGCTTTCACAAATGGCACACTGCTACGCTTTAAATCAGTGGTCCCCAACCCCCGGGCCTCGGACCGGTACCGGTCCGTGAGTCGTTTGGTACCGGGCCGCGAGAGTAGAGGCTCAGGTGTGAAATGTATAGTTTTCAGGGTTTTTATCGGTTTTCAGCGTTATTTTGTTATCGTTTTTATCGTTAACTCGGTTTTCCTGGGTCTTTTCACGTGTGTTATGAATAAATCTCCTTTTTTCGGTACCGGTACTAGTTTTATTTTGTTGTATTTATCTGCGACACCTTAAAGGCCGGTCGGGCATAAACCGGTCCGTGGCGCAAAAAAGGTTGGAGACCGCTGCTTTAAATGATAAAAAAGTGCACATTTTCTCTCAACCAGCAAAAAGAAAAGGTTTGTGCTGGTGCTTCAGTTCTCCCAGTAAATGATTAAGAAAGACAAACAGAATGATTTGAATATAAATCATTTGCAGCATTACAACATTTTCTTTTCCTTCAGCAGAATGAGGAATGCATTTGGATGCATCACCTACTTGGTGTCATGTATCGTTACACCTTCTTGTTTCCTGCCCGTACTGACCATTCAGACCTAAATACGCCCTTAATGCATTTTTGATTGTGTTTTGGTAGGTTGGGTGTTATAAACAAGATGGATTTCATTACCAGATGTGAACAACACATGATAGGAGCATGAGTGGAAAAAATCTGATTAACTGACAAATTATCTGTGTGTGTGCTAGCACTCCCTCGTTAGCACAGTGTATATTTAATTCAGCCAGAAAATCTCTAATGAGTGTTGTCATTTTTCTGCCAGCCGCCCAAAAAGCACCTCCAAAATGGGGCCATCAAAGGCTACCAGGTAGGCTACAGGGAGTACAGCTCAGGAGGAAACTACCAGTTCAGTGTGATCAGCGTGGAGACCACAGGGGACAATGCAGAAAGCCTGGTGTTGGATAATCTGAAGAAGTTCACCCAGTATGGAGTCGTGGTGCAAGCCAGTAACAGCGCTGGGACGGGGCCGTCTTCCACCGAGGTGGCTGCTACCACACTGGAGGACGGTAAGAGGGGAGGAAATAAAACTATTCTTATTATTTGCAGTTTCACATCAACATTTTAATGAATGAGAAATGTTGTACGCAGAATATGAGACAAAACCCTTGATCTAAATACAGCACGAATACATTTGGAGTATCGCATTACAAACACAGCTGTGAAGGAGCCAGGCAGCGTGGTTTAATGTTGCAGCTATTTGTGAGGATGTAACACAACCTAGTGGAGATCACTGGGTATTACGTGTGTTGTCAGTGTTTGTTTTTATACTCTGGGTTTTTTCTACTCAGTGCCCAGTCGTCCCCCAGAGAACGTCCAGGCCGTTGCGACTTCCCCAGAGGTCATTTCACTGTCCTGGCTGACGCCTCCTAAAGAAGCTCTGAATGGCAACTTGCTGGGATTCAGGGTTATCTACTGGGCCAACCTGCCTGATGGAGGTACACACACACACACACACACACACAGACACACACACACACACACACACACACACACACACACACACACACACACACACACACGAGCATGCAAGCCTGAATTTAGATTAACATGCATTTTACAAAAATGCATCTCAGTCTCCAGAAATCTGCACTTCCTCCTCAAATAGAGTATAATTATAAACTATTCCTGATAGCATTTCTTTCATGAAAACATATACACACACAGGTTGGTGTGATCTGCACTACTATGAGTCTGCTTCCAATCAGAGCAGAGGTGGATAACCCTGTAGGATGCACCTGTGCAGGGGGCACACCTAGCCTGCTAGCATGTCTGAAGGATCAGTGTGTGAGCTAAGAGCCAGATCAAGCCACAAGTGACAAAAATCAAATGCAGAGATGGTGAGGCTTAGGCTAAAATAACTGAGTCAGAGAGAGCTGCGTTCCCTGGACAAGGATCACCTGATCTGTTAGCACAAGTGCGGTCAGTGGATAAAGAAATGTCAAGAAATGTAGGTCAAAGTCATAACATCCAACATGGATGAAGGGGCATCCGTTTTATAATTATTTAATACATCTGTTCATTTAATATGTTTCCATTTAACATTTTAATATGCTAAAGATTTGTATTTCTATTATTTTATCCAACCACGGTCTTTATTGTTTATTTCAATTCAATTCAGCTTTGTTCAGTCACCTCTAAGCACCTCTAACAACCTCTATGAGCAAGCACTCGGTAATAGTGGGAAGGAAAAACTCCCTCTTAGCAGGAAGGACAACCATCTGCTGCAATTCCTGCATTCTTGTGGACTGATGTTCTAATTTGTTAGTAGCTACAAACAAATAAAAAGAAATAGTGATGAAGCTAAGATTTGTGCATAAAACATTTGATTTGTTTGTGTCGGTGAATGAGGCCCGCTGTTTTCTTACATTTAGTGAAGCCCTGCAGATCCCCACACTGAGCCTAGACCAAATAATTTTACTTGACCAGTCCACATCCAAGGACACTCTGACAGCTTCACTGTGGTTTTGGAGCGTGTTGCCCAATTACAGCAGACTTAGTGGTCCTAGTATTCTGAGATGTCCTTGGGCAAGATATTGTTGATGCCAGTGGCAGGCCATCACTTCTGAGGCTATTACTGTAAATATGTGCACGTGTAAAAAGATTGATAGAATTGCTAAGGTTAAGCAGTGCTCTAAGTTACCATCCTGACATGCCGGCTCAAAGCTTTACTGCGTGTGACTTTTTCTTGGTCATTAGAAGCAAGTAGCTTTTAGTGTAGATACTCAGATGGATTTTTAAGGCATGGCATAACCTTCACTGCTGGCCAACAGGCTGCATGCTGATGGAAGGCGGACAGCATAGCATGGCAGTGTCAGCCAGATTGCTTGTGACAGCATGATTACCTTTGCCCCTTGCACTGTCACATCACATTGGCCTGCCTACAGAACATGAACGCTCAAGACTTGACAGCCATGGCTAGTTTGCATGGTAACAGTGAATATTCTCAAAGCTACATTAAAATGCTATTATTTGTAAATATTTGTGTTTATAATTTTTTATATATACTGTAGCCTAACAATTAATATATTGAGCTGTTTATTGCACTCAATGGCAGACAAGTGTAGTACATCAGGATGATGGAATAATCTCATTGGCCAGCAGAGGGAGTTATAGAACCTGCAGTGGTGCAGGCTGTGCCGGTGCTGCAGTTTGTAGGACAATAACAAACTGGATGTTATGACTTTGTTCATTTGTTTTTGTTTTTTTGTAAATACTTCTGTTGAGTAAGAGAAATCAGAGTATCTAAAATCTAAAAGACCACAGAACTGAATTTTTGAATACTCTGCCAGTGATTTTCCTGCTTATTCAGTCTATTTTTTTTCCATAATGTCAGCAAAACAGTTAAAAAATTAGAATGTAACATATTCAAATTGCTTCTTTTGTCTGACCAACAGCCTAAACAGCCAAAAACTATAATCTTCAGCAATTATGTCAAACAATGAACAGCAGCAAGTCATCACAGCATCTGCAAATATCCTTTTGGCTCGGAAAAACAATTAATCCACCGTTCGAATCAATTAAAGTCACGGGAGAGCTGCAGTTATCTCGCAGTTGCAGGCACTAGAAAAATACGGGCCTCTGATTATTGTCACTTTTCTTTATCGGGATGTGGTTCCAGTTTGATGCAAACATAATTTTTGATTTTTAATTTTTTTTGAATTTTTATATGTTCCTGGATATGAAGACTGTGGGCCAGACACAGACAACCACAGTCTTGGTTAACCTGTACATCCTATTGTGTTTTTCAAGTGTTTTAAACACTCTCCTCCTTAATGAGGAGAAGAGCAGTAGCTGGGGGTCCGTTATAGATCTCTGGAGTGAAATGAAAAACTAGAACTGTGGACGAGAACACATTGTGGTGAAGGAATACAGACACATTGAGGTGTTGATAATCCAGAAGTTAAGAGCTGAGGGAAGCATGTACGCTTGGATCCAGACTTGTTTAAATTTTGTGACTGAATATGAAATCATCTCAGGCTGTGCTCGCTTAGGCCTGATATTACTTTTATGTATTTGAGCCTCTATATTTTAGTAGTGACATGTTTGGACCAGTGGCAACCTGTCACATAACAGGATTATTTATAACAGGAGACATTATGGGGATTTTTGTTTTCCACAAAAATAATTCAGGAACCAGAATATTCTTACATATACTGAAGCCCGATTTAATACTGCTGTCAGTGTGTTTAGAGGATAAATCTGAATTTAAACAAGTTCAGAACCTAAACATATAACTGTTTAGGTTAACAAAGAAAGACTTCTTTAAGTTTCCTGAAGATGTCTCCAAGGTCCTTAGATTACCATGACCTGGATGACTGAGAGCCTACACAGACATTATATGTGCAGTTATTCTCAGTCTCATTTTTTCCAGTTGATCCAGTCAAACATAAACAGTTTAACATGTCAGAAGTGAACAGAGATGTGTAGACACCGCGCTGCTTTATTCACTATTCTCCAAACTCTCTCATCTTCTTCTGTTTTCTGTCGGCCAGAGCTCGGAGAGATCCGGAACGTGACAACCTCTAAGCCCTCACTGGAGCTGGATGGATTGGAGAAATATACCAACTACAGCATCCAGGTGCTGGCCTTCACCAGAGCTGGTGATGGTGTCCGCAGTGAACAGATTTACACCCGCACCAAGGAGGACGGTAGGCCGATTGAGTCACCTCTCCAAATAAAAAGGCAGCTGTCAGGTTGTAGCGAGCTTCTGTCATAGAGGTTGTTTCATGGTCAGGTTATGCTAAGATCTGTGCTAAAGTGAATTTGACTCACTGCCTCAAGGAATTACAATATCTCCCCTCTTTACACTAAATGTCAGTTTTTCTAGACCAACAGTATTTTACTGGGATAAAAATGAGGCAGGATCCTAAATATACTTATTAAGTAGAGAGCAGTAAGTCTCGCATGCAGCAGAGAGAATATGTTATGTGGCCATCTGTTATCTAGCTGTATAATCAGTGTAAAAAGAGCCATAAAAATCTTTCAAGTATTAATATTAGCTTAATGTGGGGAGTATATCAACTAAATTATCTCATGCTTTCAGTTCCCGGTCCTCCGGCGGGTGTAAAGGCAGCAGCTGCATCCAACTCAATGGTGTTCGTGTCCTGGCTTCCTCCTCTCAAAGTGAACGGCATCATCAGGAAATACACCGTTTTCTGCTCCAACCCACACCCCACGGTAAAGCACATCAACAAAGTATCATTCAAAAAGACAATGTTACACTGTTACACATTGTTGCAACATTGTTTGTTCGTTTTTTAATTCAAGTTCCGGTTTTAGAGCTAGCTAACCAGGAAGATAACCAGGAAACTGGAGCTTCGGCTCGAAGCAAAGATGACTTATGTTTGTTTAATAATTACAGTAAAAGTAAAGTAAAAACAAAAGTTTACAAAAAAACAGAAATAATTAGTAATTGTGTGGGTTTCTTTAGCTTTAAAGAGCTTTACACCTGCTCAGCATAATGCTACAGCACCCTCAGTTTTCATAGCCCTGCATATCAGGACATTTAGAACCATTTATTTATTACTATTTGAAGCATATATCACACAAGCAACTGTAAATATGTGATGTGTCCTAAAGACGTGTGTACACACAAGGCATGAACATGTGAGACACAAATATTTGTAGCACCTAAACAACTATAACATTTGCAGAGGTGTACAAAAAAATCACAGATAGTGAATAAATGTGAACTCTGGCCAGTATAGTTTGAGCTATTTGAGAACTGGTCGCAGACAGCATCAGTCCAGCTGGGTGCAAACACGATGTTTGTTCATTACTGGTTTGGGCTCAATAGAAAACATCAGCATGTGTAGTTTTACCCCTGAGTGTTTTTTTATGCACTGGAGTCATTTATGAACGTCCTCCCTCCTCCAGGTGAGCAGTGAGTTTGAGGCGGCCCCAGATGTATTCTTCTACCGCATCCCCAACCTGAGCAAAAACCGTCAGTACAGCGTCTGGGTTGTTGCAGTGACTGCTGCGGGCCGTGGAAATGCCAGCGAGATCATCACTGTCAAACCCATGGCTGAGGGTCGGTGGAGCTACTCTCTTATAAAATGTGCTTTTCAATGCTGAACAGCTCTCTGTTGCCTGGTATCACGTTTGTGAGCTCGAAGTGCAAAGTGGATGCGTAAAATGTGCAGTTTGGGTTAAAATGACTCTTAAGACAAGGAGCATTACTAAATGGGAATAATGCTACATTCGGCCCTGGGAACATGTTGCATGTTCTGTAAACGCAGATAAGCTGATGCATATACCAACAGGTCTTTATTGTCTGGAGTCAGCTCCTATATTAAGCGCCCGCTGCAGAGCTTTCTGGTCTTGCACTGTGCATATCTAATACCAGTTTGTGATCTTTGCAGTTACGATTCTTTCTATTGCTCCCCTGTAGAAAGTTGCAATAATTGTCACAGAAATGTATTCTTCACTAGTTTCTTTAAGAAGTCTGTCAGGTTAGACATGTGTGAGCACACCTTAAGTTAAATTCTCCATCTGAAATATTTAAACAGGAACACATGTCTTTGAATTTCACTGCAGGCTGATCAGTTGTGTGTTTTTGCAGCTCCGGCTCGGATCCTGACCTTCAACAGGACCGTAACGACCCCCTGGATGAGGGACATCTTGCTGCCTTGTAAGGCAGTTGGCGATCCTTCACCAACCATCAAGTGGCTGAAGGAGATGTGAGTAAAATACTAATCACTGAGGATCACTGAGGATCTTTTCACAGCTGAATATTTGTGGATATTGTCTCCTTAATATATCCAGTGTCTGTGTGGCACACTAGAAGCTGAAAGTTAATCGTAAATGCATCTCTGCCTCAGCAACGGGACCCCAGCACCCGTTGTGATTGACAGCCGGCGCAGCGTCCATACGAACGGCAGCCTCGTTATCCGCACAGTGAAAGCAGAGGATTCTGGGAACTACACATGTGTGGCCAGTAACAGCTTTGGGCTGGACAAGATTGTCCTAAACCTCCAGGTTCAAGGTGAGAATTACAACATGGGCAGAAAGACAAAAGAATGACACGTTATCATCTTTTTCAGTGCTAGATTTCTTTCTTTAAATCCTGCTGTTTCCTTCAGTTCCTCCTGACCAGCCTCGCCTCACAGTGACCAAGACAACCACCACCTCCATCACCCTCTCCTGGATCCCAGGAGATAACGGTGGCAGCTCCATTAGAGGTCAGAGAGATTCTGCCTGTCCTTCTCTGTCCCTGCTTTTTTTACCATTTGATTTACATTCATGTCTCCATCTGTGCCACCTTCAGGCTACATCTTGCAGTACTCAGAGGATAACAGTGAACAGTGGGGTAATTTTGCCATCAGTCCAAGTGAGCGCTCTTACAGGCTAGAGAATCTCAAATGCGGCACCTGGTACAAGTTCACCCTAACCGCCCAGAATGCCGTGGGCCCCGGACGCATCAGTGAGATCATTGAAGCAAAGACCCATGGGAAAGGTATGAACTGTTCTTCTTTAAGGGGCATGTTACAGGTTAGTCGTTGTGCAGCCTCCACTTATTTAAAAGTAAACTTAAAATACTTAACAATACAGCAAATGATTGGAGTGATAAAGACGTTGAGTGCATGTTTTAAAAGGTCAAAGAGGTTTTAACTTTTTTCCCTCAGAAATAATAATATATACGGTGTGATCAAACCTGTGAAGAGCCAAAACCTTATTGGATTTAAACCAGACCGATCCTTCAAAATTCTCATGCATGAGCAGACTGCAGTTATTTTTAGATCATTGCCTTTTAATTATCCTGGATCTTCTCCGGTGTGTTAACTTAATTTTCATTTTTTGGAGCAATGGAAGCAACTTTTTAGTGTACTTTGTGCAAACACACAATGGCTCAGTGGCAATTCAGGAGGTTGCACTCCCTCATCGGGGCTTGAGCTGACAGTCTCACCCTGGAGGATGAATTCTCATTGTGGACTCCTCAGCTGTAGACTTTCTTACCAGGACACCCAGATCCTACCACCCGCTCAGGTTTCAGACCGCCGCCTGTGCAGTTTTCAGATCCCTGGTGAAATCTCAGAGCGCGCTCGACAGATCCACCAAATTTGAATTTGGTTTCAGTTTCTGAAAACATCCTGATTTAGAAAATAAAGTGATAGCACAGAATGTGTTGCATCTGATTAAGTGTACACACAGTCACTGGTAAATCCTTCCTGCAAATAATGCACTCTGTCACAAGGTTCATGAACTTGACAGTGAGTTTACTCAAATGGCTTCCTTATCACGATAGCTGCCAATGTCAGCATGGGTCCAAATCTCTGAGGTTTCCTGTTTCCAGCACTTTGTTGAACGTATGCAACAAAGAATAAAGACTGTGGTGAATGCAAAAGCAGATCTAATCAAGGTGTACTTTGTCTTAAGCTCTTAATTTTCTGTCTGAATGCTGATTATTTTTCCTTCTTCCCACAGAACCTCAGTACTCTAAAGAACAGGAGCTCTTCACTAGCATCAATGCCACTCGAGTCAAGCTCAACCTGAACGGCTGGAATAACGGCGGATGCCCGATCACCTCGTTCACCCTGGAGTATCGGCCGGTAGACTCGCCCACTTGGACCACGGCACAGCGCACCTCCCTCACCAAGAGCTACGTCCTCTACGACCTGCAGGAGGCCACCTGGTACGAGCTGCAGATGAAAGTCTACAACAGCGCCGGCTATGCCGAGAAGAGAGTCAAGTTTGGAACACTCAGCTACGATGGCAGTGAGTTCACATGGTGGCAGGAGACCATCTGTTTCCCACTCTTTTCTTCACAGGGAGCAGAGTGATTGTCTGTCGTGGGCTACTGAAACCAGCAGGGTACTGTAGCTGTGTGATTCACTGGCTGCTCCAGAGGTAGTATCATGTGAACACTCACACTTTAGGAGGGAATTGGTGATAAAAGCCATAAGTTCTCAGTAACTATAGCATTAAGAGTCTGACTAAGTGTGAGAGTTTGAAGCAAAGAGGAATAAATTACCTTTTCTGTTAATGGCAGAGCTCCAGGCTCAAGGAGACTGAGCCGCCTTTGACAAATCGGGCAATAAAAAGCACATTTCATACCAAATCTAGTGGCTGCAGCTTGGCTTTCATGATGACGCCGCCTTCACAAGCCCTCTGAATTCCAACACAAGAATCAAATAATCTCCTGATCTCCTTTGAGATAAAGGATACCAGCATTACCAGCTCATATTGCACACCAGGGGCTCAGCAGTATTCTACCACAATCACTTCTGAGGAACAAATACTTCATTTCCTCCCTCACTCACATTCTGCGACTGCTGAAGAGAGGGTGGGGGTGAGCATTAAGCTGTGAAGGATGAGTTCATTGGTACTGAGGTACAGTTGGGCGAAATGAGAACAAAGCATTAGTGTCAATTTGACAAAGGTCAAGCACAACGATTAGGAAAGGGCAGCAGCTTATGGTGAAACACAAAATTTGTAATGCTCTTGACTTTTTTTTACTCATTAGGATTCATTCAGTAGCTTTCATTTAAAGAGACAGATCAGGGGGTTGTCATGCAGGTTGTGTCTCCTGACACTGTCACATGACCTCTGCACAGGTACCATCGCACCTTTAGTGAAGGCGCCCAATGTGAGCGAGGATAACTCTGGGAGCGGTGAGGGTTTGAAGATGATGGTAACCATTTCCTGCGTGTTGGTGGGTATCGTCGTGATCTTCATCGGCCTTCTGGTGCTGAGGAGGAGGAGGAGGGAGCAGAGGCTCAAGAGGCTCAGAGGTGAGATGATGGGGGTCCCCGCACGTGATGGGCGGGTTTCCCAAATCTGCTACGTGCTTGCCTCTAACAGTTTCTCTTTATGTTTCCTAGATGCAAAAAGCTTGGCTGAGATGCTCATGAGGTAACATCTTCATTAAGCCGTCATCATTTACCTCAGCATGCACACAGACGCAATTACAGATCTTTTTACTTCCACTCATTTTTCATCTGCTCTGTGCTTCTCAGTAAAAACACGCGTCCAGCAGAGCCAATTAACAAACAGCAGCAGACGCTCCGCATGCACATCGATATCCCCAGAGCCCAGCTTCTCATCGAGGAGAGAGACACCATGGAGACTGTTGGTAAGCACGCAGCGAGCACTGGTGACACAGGACATAATGTACGATGGCGCGCAGGCTAAGTTTGTTTCTGCTGCTGTCTCAAAGATGACAGGTCCACTGTGCTACTGACCGACAACGACTTCGGGGAGACACAGAAGCAGAAGTCGTCCACAGTCACCCACACTGTCCACTACCAATCAATCTCCCAGGCCACTGGTCCACTGGTAGACGTGTCTGATGCCAGACCAGGAACTAGTAAGTCCAGTACGGACTCTTTTTTTAACTTCATAATACATTAAAATGTTTATGTGTCCTTTTATTTTCCCAGAACTCTCTCCTTTCATGAACCTTCCCTCTGTCACTTTGCCTTTTGTTTTGGAAGTTATGAGGATTCATTGAAAAGCTCAGCAGACTGCTGCCACACTCGTACGCCACATTATGCTGCTTCATAGTTACAGTGCTGTTGCCATGCCTGCTGTTCTGGAGTCAATAAGGTGTTTCCTTGTGGCGCGGTTTCACTACAGATTCTATATTTACATGAAATCCACTCCACAAATAGACTTCAGCTGGTTTATTATCAGGTATAAATAGCTGCAGGATGGCTGCACAAACTATTATTTGCAGGACAGATTTTAAAGTCAGCGCCATCATCCCTCGGTTGTTCTTTAGCCTTTGTATTTGAGCCCCACTGTGGAATTACTGCCACAGAAGCCACAGTATGTTGAACTCAATGCCACAAGCACAAAAAGTTGGACGAAGTTTTGTTGCCATTGGATGACCTCCTTCAGGCTCGAGGCTCCGGGTCACATTTAGAACTGGGTGACTTGGTAATCTTGGTAATCCACACACTCTTAAATCTCTGCGATGCCGTCTCAGTGCAGCAGTAGCTGCTGTGATATCGGCACAGTTAGTGGCAAATTGTGCACCGCCAACATTAGTGAATCTGATAAAGTTCTGGATTTTAAAATTCCTCCCACCTCTTACATACTATCTTCTCACTGTGCTCTCTTTATAAATACTGACAACACTTTTTTACACTCGTGCAACATGTTAATAAATTTGGCCCAATAGCTCTCATGCAGTGAGCTCACTGTCAGTTTTTATTACTTTAGTAATCAAAGTCTGCATAGTGACGCAGAAGAAAATCCACTGTAATCCCAGAGACTATATACTGTTGCCACTCTTTTCTGTTGTAATCATGACCATTTCATTGAGCCAAGTCGTTGCTCGACCTGTTTAAATACCTTGCGTTTCTCTGCCTCGCTCTCAGACCCGACAGCCCGCCGCACAGCCAAAGCTGGCCCAGCTGCTCGCAACAGGTACGCCAGCCAGTGGACCCTAAACCGCCCCCACCCGCCAGTCTCCTCTCACACTCTGAGCACTGATTGGAGGCTGCCCACACCCAGAGTGGCAGGCTCTGTTGACAAGGAGAGTGACAGCTACAGCGTCAGCCCATCTCAGGACACAGGTAAATGACACAGCTGCTCTGTGTGACCCGACACGTCTAACAGCATAGCACCTGTATTAACCTTCACAAAATGCCATTGCACTAATTCTAACAATGATCCACTCCACTAACTCTGGGCCTGATCCAGACCGTGCACGGAGCAGCATGGTGTCAACAGAGAGCGCCTCCTCCACTTACGAGGAGCTCGCCAGAGCCTACGAGCACGCCAAGATGGAGGAGCAGCTGCGACACGCCAAATTCACCATCACCGAATGCTTCATTTCTGACACTTCGTCAGAGCAGATGACTGCAGGCACCAACGACTACACCGACAGCCTGACCTCCAGCACACCATCCGAATCAGGCATCTGCCGCTTCACCGCTTCCCCACCCAAGCCTCAGGACGTCAGTCGGGTTATGAACATGGCCGTGCCCAAGGCTCACAGACCGGGTGAGGCCAAGCTGTCCAGAGGCCACACGTCAGCCTGCCTGAAACTATAACTGCTCAACATCTCTAATGTTTACCCCTAATATTAACACCAGCAGTGAATTCATTCAAGCTGATAGTCGTCTTATTTAAAGTGAAACCACAAGTCGAATCTGAATGAAAACAACTTGGACACAGATGCAGAAGCATTGTCTAAAAATTCATTATAGATGTGGCAAAAAAGAAAGGCAGCGATATCTGCTTTAAAAGGCACAGGAACGTTTTAATGAAGATGATATAAAACATTTTAGGTTCAGTCCAAAGTTAATGGAAATGTATTATTCTGACTGTGGGTAGGAACGTGGAGTTTTGATGCTGCAGTTTGACTTTTAAAATAAACGTTTGTTAAACTATAAAGCAAATTAAAGGTTTGGACGCTGAACAAGACAAATATGGTTTGGCAAGTAAACGCTTGTGATCCTTAAACTACACGTGGACGTTATTTTGAGATTAGAACAGGATTTTTTTCTTTCAGTTAGAACAAACGGTTGGAACGATTAAAGTGATTTTCTTTGCAGGCTTCTAGTTGTTGTCTGTTCGGGAGGTGTGAGCCTCTCACTGGTAATATCTGTTTGATAGTGTGAGCAAATCCCAGCCATTATAATGTAAATCCACATGAATGAAACTGTCCATTACCTGATTAGCGCATGCATTAGTGCATTACTGCTGATTTGGTGTTTTGTGCATTTCAAAATAAGAGTGCCCAGTTATTCCACAGGAGTGGAAGAGTAATTTGGCTGAAAAGAATAAGCAGGATTATTTTAGCCTGATAAGAACAGGGTGAGGTTGTTCAGGAGTGTCTGTCATCTTACTGACCCTGCTCTGTGTTTGTTGTCCCTCAGGGGGCGAGCTGGTTCACCTTCCTCCCTATCTGCGCATGGACTTCCTGTTAAACCGAGGCATGTCCTGCTCGGGGTCATCTAGGGGGACAGCTAGTGGGGAGAGAGCGGCCATGGGTCAAGCCTGCCTTGAGCCCCAGAAGAGCCGCTCGCTGAAGCGGCCCTCTCGGATGGCGCCCCCGACACCTACAGAGGCCCCTCAGGCCAGCAGGGACCCAGTGGCCCAGTGGCAACCCGGATCAGCGGCCACACTCCCCCACAGAGAGGGCTCAGAGCTGGCCCAGGCAGCCAAGCTCAGCACCTCCCAGGAGTCCCTGCTGGACTCCAGAGGACATCTGAAACAGAGCAGCAACCCCTACGCAAAGTCTTATACGCTAGTATAACAGCAGGGGCACCTGGGGCGGGACTAGAACTCACTCTAACACTGGACTTAACACTCAAGTGCAGTAAACTGACTTTCACCACACAGTTCTGTATATATGTCCCCTCCCTCCGAGGACGGGGTCACTTTTACTAATGTCCTTTTATTTATTTTAGACTTTTCTTTCACCTCTTGTTTGTATTTTTTGTTTTGTTTTGTTTATTTGTTTGTATCACTTGAGAAAAAAAAATTTCACTCATTTGGAGATGAGTCCAGTCGGAGCTTTGCCAAACTAATTGAGTAATGAGGGAGCATTTATTTATTCTTGTTCATTCTTTATAAGGAATTGGTGATTATTAATTGTTAGTTGTCAGCTATTATTGATCATTAATTACTGATTACCAAGTGATCTATTATCACCATCACTTCTCCAGTGTTTTCATAAGAGCCTGGACATCTTTTTTTCTTCCTCTTTGGTTTCTTTTCCTGGTTTCTGGAAGATGACGATTTGGAGTCATGTTTTTTCCTATGGAATTTTCTTCTGAAGCATTCAGTGAAACTCGGAGAAATCTCGGAACAAAAGCAATTGAAACTAGAGTCCAAACTTTTCAGCTGCTCTCAAATTGTTACTTTTTTTGAAGAAAAAAAAATCTATTTCCTATGGATGCATGGGGACTGACCAATTAAAAGACAATGAGGATTATGATCGCGGCTGGGTGGGCAGCCCAGTCGAGCATTTTGTCACACTATGAAATGATCCAATGTGAAGATTTATTATTCTTATTACTATAAATATATATATAAAAAGAGAATCACTTTTATTTGTGGATATTACAGGGAAGAATTGATTTGGTTAATAAAGTCCTTAGTCATGTTTGCACATATCTCATTTTAATTAGGAAATGGAGTCTCTGTTGATCTTTCTCTGTGTCCCATTCTCTGATGGTGCAATATGAAAAAAGATATGAAAAGTCTATGGAAACTATTGCTCTATACTGTACTGTAATGATGATAAATAACTATGTTGTGAGTATACTTACAGGGCCGGACACACTCCAGCTTTTGTATTCAGGTGTAGTTTACCACTGCTTGTCTGCCAGGTTGGTAAATGATGTTAGCTAGAACAGGGAGGTTTTTGAGTACTGATGGTTTGCACTTCACAACAGCCCGACTCAAGTGTGTCCAGATCCCTTCTCTCAGTGCACTAGGTAGAGTCTTCAGGGCTCTCACTGTCCTCAGTAGATTTACTGTTGCTGCATTGCAGCAATGCTCCTCTACAGGGAAAAAAAAACGTGAGACAATCCAGCAGAATTCCCCCCTTCGAACCAAACCTATAATGTCTATGGGAAGTATCTGAAAAAAAAAGTTCATGTGGATATATACGTAAGAAACTGTTTTTCTGTTCCTGTCTGCCCTGGCCCGTTTCTGTTCTCTTTCTTTCAGTTAGCCTGAGGGATCCAAAATGCTGTGAGGTCATAATGTCAGTTTCTATGATTAGTTTCTATGATTAACTGTCTTCATTATGATTATACATTTTAACAAAAAAAATGTCACTTTTTATTTTTAACATGAGTGTTCACCATGGTGGCACTGGAATAAAGAGAAACTAACACAAAGGTTCAAATTTGATTAATAAAATGGCTGTTCCCCAAAGTGTCCCTCGCAGCTTTGATGGTGGGGCGGAGGTGACGGAGCAGACGGGCCCAGAGCCGGTGGAGGCCGCGCTCCCTGCCTGCTTGGGCCGTGAATTTCGGCGAGAGAGATGCCCGGTCTTCACCTCGTTTTTGTCACTGTGACAGCGATGAAACATGAGTTTCCTAATGTTTAGCTTTGTACTCCCTACCTGCAGGTGGCAGTGATGTGCTGCTCAGTACAGTCTGGTCAACACAATGAGCCTGCAGTGTGCTGAGACCCTCTCTACCAAACCTGCTTGAGACTAAGATGAGCAGCTGAGTCTGCCCTGAATCGTGGACGGGATGTTTTCCAGAGATATTCAGCAGCAAATGTGCAGCATGGAGAGATTTTGTCAGAAGACAAATGACGAAAACACCAGCAAAGCCTCAAAATCCCAGAATGCACAGCAACAGTGTAAATGTTTCTTTTCCTTAAAGCAGGGGTGTCCAAGCCATTTTATTCCCTTTGATCGTATTTAGTGAAAGTCCCCTTTCTGTCAGTGTAAACAGTGAGATATAAGAAAAACAAGCGCAATTTCAACACTAAGTCTTGTTTTTTCTACATGCTGCTGTCGTAAATGAAAGAAATCCGTGAGCATGAATCTTAAATGTGTAAAATACAGAAATCTGGAATTCAATTACTTTAGTATGAATAGGAAAAGCTATCAGTAGGAAACACTAGGAAACTTCTGAAATTCCAGGGTCCTTCTTCACCTTTCCAAAGCTGATTCTCAACCCCGGGCGTTATGTTTGACACTCCTGCCCTAAAGGAAAAGAAACCAGGCAGCAGTTGAGTCATTTTTCCCGGTGTCATGTTGTTCCCACTGACATCTATTGACTTACTCTTTAGGGTTCCCAGTTTTGAGAAAGAGTCAGACGTCTGAACTGTTCATGATAAGCTATTATAATTTTTCATCCTCAGCTCAGATGTGTTTTAAGCAAAATTTCAAAAGTTTCCGTAGCTTCAGAATGAATCCCACGTCTGTGCTCAGGGATGACTGTATAAATCGAAGCTGACTGAAAGCACAAAACATTATTTTAAGAATGCCTAACACACCAGCAGCCTCACTTTTAAACGCCATGACATCCAGTGGTTTGCAGACTCCTAATGTCAGTGGCTCCACTCTCTCCATGAGGCTTTGCAGCTGTTGACTGCAATAACTGAGAAATTACACTGTAAATTATATACAATTATATAATTCATTTAAAATAAAAGCAGTTCAGATTTATTTTGAAAGCAGCCTTTGACCTTTACTGTGAAAGATTGAAAATCTGTGATCAGTTTGATTTCAGTTGTGTCGTCCATCGATGACGTGGAACATCAACGCTGATTATCCAAATTTAGATCAGTGATGTGACAGGTTAAAGCAACTAACCGTGCTCCAGGTAACTCTGCTACTGTCTCGTCTTTGGGTTTATCTAGAAAGACGCATTTGTATAAACAGGGCAGGACTGTTTATACAAAATTCATTTAAGAAAACCAAATGAATGAAACACTCAAAACTAAATCAGTTATATTTCTTTTAAATGTGACAGCGATGCCCCAGAACAGACTTTTTATCCAATGTTGTCAGAGTTTAATTATATAAACATGTCAGATATTTAATTATAGATGGTGGTGCTTGATGCCATATTGCCATAGAATATGAATGAATGCCCAAATGACTGTGCTGCCGGAGCGGGTGGAGTCAAATTTACTTAAAACAGTTCAGGTTGACCTTAAACATATCTGAAATCTTCCAAACATACTTATCAAATTCAGTTGTGGCTCTAAAATTATTCCCACAATCTTAAAACTGATGTATTTCTTCAGTTTTGAACTTAATTTTAAATAGAAATTCTCATAGAAACGTTTTTCGTTTTTCTAACTTAGTGCCAGATGATTATGTTGCAGCCACAGTTGGTCGTGACTAACTGCTGTGGTGCCGTACACTGAGAAACTCTAGGATGGATTTAGCTCTGATTGCCTGAAACATGAAACTTCATTTCTAAAGACTACAAGTGTAATTCAGATCATTCATCTGAAATTGGGGAGTGGGACCAGTTCTTTCACTACCAGTGCCCCCCTGTACCACATGACTGTCCACGGTATTTGGAGGCATCAGGTTCACTGCTCCAGAACACATTTTAATAAAAGGTACTAACTTCATTTTAAGCTTTTTTTGGCATTAATCGATAAAGTTTAGTATAATTATTGTCATTTGAAAATCAAAGCACTTCTAGAGCTTGTGAGGGTGACATTTGGCCGGAGCAGGAATGCAGTTGGACCGATAACAGCTTCTTCACCATAACAGACATGTTCATTGAGGTTTTCAGATCATTTCACACATTTCTGTGGTATTATTAAGAAAGGATAAAGAGAACTGCCAAGCAATAAAGTGCCACTTAACAGGCAGAAGGCACTGTGGGACATGTAGGCTGAAGTTAAATATCATGCAAGGGACGAAATGCGCTGAAAAGATTGGAGTGAAATATATCAGTTTAATTTTCTGCTCTAATGAAGTCAGTGTCAATTTAAAGTGTTGTTAAATTTCAGCCTGTCAAGACTCCGTCTGGTGTTGCTGCAGAGGATAAGTGTGAACAGTAGTGACAGAATTATGAAGAATCTTCCTAAACTGGTTTATTGATTCTGAACTCACCAGCCTGCCATCCTGAAGAGTCCACCTGAGCCTCACACGTCCTGCCTGCTAAATTGCTTCCATGGTCTTATATCACAAGACACAGATTAGCAGGAAGGTGTATTACTCAGCATGACAACTGTATCTGCCATCCACCTCCAAAGTCCACAACAAATTAAGCACGGTGACAGAGATTTACTCACCACCACACTCAGTGGTTAATAACAGCTGTCATAAATAAGGTTCAGGCTGCACTGAATTCTTTGCCTCTGATCAGCCTGAGAAATATGAATCCATCGTTTGCAGAGCTGAGGAAGTGGTTCTGAAAACGTAAAGTAATAAGCACGGATGCATGTCCCAGTGCAGACCTGAAGCAATGAGCTCTGAGCATGGCTCAGGCAGCTGGCCTTGTTTATGTTGTTATTTATTGGATTCCAGATATTTTTACTCCTCACAAACTCATTTAGTGAGTTACAGCAAAGGAGTTTATGTGATGATCACAGAGAAATCCTTACAGTGTGATCTGTTCGCACTCAGCTGGCAAAATCAACATCGATATATCCAAATGAAAAAGCGAAGAGATCAGATCAGATCAACTAATCAGAAATTTCTACAGATTTCACTGAAAATCGAAATTGAAATTGTTCCTTACAGATGTATTCATAGCTTTGCTGTGGTCATTGAAATTCTAGTCAGGTCTTTAAGATGTGTCAAGAGTGTGAGTGGAACCCACGTGTGCCCAACTCATACTTAGCTGGGACACACATTCAGACATGTATATAAAATCCCAATTTAAACACAGCATGTTGGGGAAAATGCCTACATAATAAAACTTTGCTGAAACTTAAACCTTAATTTGTGCAAGGGCTGCTATGAGCACTCAAGAAATGTAAAATAGAAGAAGTTTGGAACTATCAGGACTCTTTCTGAAGCCGGCTGCCAGGTTATCGATCAGGGAGGTGATGAAAAACCCAGGGCCAAAGGCACAAACCCGCACAGAGAAGACACGTCATCATAGATGCTTCCCTTCCAGTCTGAAGTTACTTTACACAATATGCTAAGAAGAAAGGGATAATCTGCCCACATCCAGGTTTGCAAATCATAAAGACACAAAAGAAGGAAGAAAACTTCACTTTAGTTTGTCATTATAGCTTGAGTTTACTTGTGGGAATATGGCAAATGTTTCAAATGAATTTTACAGATCATACAGTGCAGTAGGATGCCTGAAAAGTTTCTGAAAAGAACATAATACACAGCATAACAAACATGTCATTACTTCCTGATAAAATTCTCAGCTTCCATTACGAATGATTTTAATGTGAAATAATACCCAAAATATCTACTAGGAAACAGGTTTAAATTAGAATTTCACGTCTTCCACTCCACTGAGGTTCTGTTACTGAACACTGTGGTCAGCAGCTGTGCTTTTTGATGAGATGGCAGAAGAGCAGAGATTCACCTGCAGCACTGTGTTTAACGCCGTATGATATTGTTGCTCTGAAACGACACAAAAACCCCACGTAACTTACACTTAAAAAGTCTGCCTGTATTATAACTCAGTGTTTCCATGGTAACAAATTAGTAATGAGTAGCACTGCAGGGCAAAAATAGGAAAACGTGGCTCAGCATTTGTGGTCTGCCATGCTGCGAAGGTGTTTTTAGAGCCAAGTGGAGACAGTCCAGTCACATACTGAATCCTGTCATGTCAACAAGCCCCAGGAGCTCATTTCTACATTGCTTAGATTTTATGCTCCTGGACACTGTTTGTGACAATAGAAAATAAAAATTTAATTGGATCTCCTGTTTTGTTTTTCCAGTTTTAATTAATTCATGATTTTGTTTTCTAGAAGCCAAACATCTGCTACTAGAATGATGGAGAAATCTGTGTTTGAGAAAGTTGTACTTTTAAGCTGCTTTAAAAAATATTTAAATTCAAAATATTCAACAGTTTGGTTAGTGCAACTCTTTTGTCCACATTACCAAAAATGTAAATCAAGTTAAGGGCACAGGTCCACAAGGACAAAAGGATGTTGAATGAGAAATCAACGACGTTCATGAATCACTTAAAACCTCTTTTCAAGGTCAATCATTAGAACCTTTTGATCCCAGCTTGTATATACTAGCAAAAAAAATTAACTAGTGCAATATTTGTATAGCACTGTGATCAATGAAAATAGACTTTTAACTGCAGCACACAAAGTACATTGTGTGTGCATTTAACCACTTTCACAATCGTCACTAAAGTTTTCGTATAATCTTGCAGCTTTGCACATGAATGCTTCACTGTCAGCTTTTTCAACTTTCTTCTTAAATCACAGATGTTGAAGCATGTGACCTGCTGCATGCGGTGCACGAATTCTGTAGCAAGGAAAGAAATACTCAAAAAAAAAAAAATCACTCCTTTCCGTTGTCTTTATTTATTTCTCTGTAGCAGTGGGTATGCATGTGTGCACGTATGTGTGAGCTTTCATGCATGCATGTGTGTGCTTGAACAATACACGTGAGCCAATCTAACAATGAACAATCACACTGGAACCACAACAAAGAACCACAATCACAACATCTGCAGTCTCAACAAAGATACAACTGAGAGAGTCATCGGGGGAAAAGTGTGTCGGAGAGGAGATCTCTGACATGTGAACACATTTAGAGACACTAAACTGATTGGATTTTAAAGACACTGGTAACAGTATGGAATCACTCTGCTCAGCCACAGGAAGAAGCCAGTAACAGGCCTCCAGTGGAGCCCAACTCTTCTGCTGGTACTGTGACCCAGATTATAGCATCAATCAAAGATCGCTGTTTAACATTACATGAGAAGACCTGCCAGCTTCCTGTTTATGTGGGTGTGCAGTGAGTGTGAAACCACACTGTAAAGTGTCACTGAAGTAAAAAAGAAATAGCAAAATTATATTATTATCTAAATACATACACCAAGAAAGTAATAATGCAACATTTTGTATATAGTAAAGTTATTCATTATGCACAGACTTTCACAAAGGTACAATTTAACCGCACCCTTCTACCTCCACCTTCAGGAATCTCGCCCTCACCCTCCCTTTCCAGTTCATAATGATGCAGTTTAATTGACATGCATGACCGGGCCCACGTCAGCTGAAGACGAGGCTAAGAGATGCCACTCTACGACTTCACATCCTGCTTCTTTTTCTGGAATTTCCTGAACTGTGACTGGATGGTCACAGCAGCCTTCGCCGTCTCCGGGGCGTCCATGTCGATGTCGAAATCCGGGGGGAGGTTGTTCTTCTTTTCTTCTGGGGAGAGAGGAGACGTGGAAATGTGAGAGGACAGCAGGACTTTTAAGAGGGGAGTTCATAAACATATCAAAAGTTCCTGAAAGATTTCTCTCAAGGCACAATCTATGCTGTCCACTTTCACTCTCTGTCTCTTTAGCAATAAGTGGGTGTTCGCTGTTCGGCTAGCTGCACTCAAATGGGAAAATCCACCTGTTAACCGTAACATTGGGGTTGGCGAAGTGATTTATGCGGAGGAGAGCTTGTTTGAGTCACCAGACCGACAAGCTGGTGTCTGACGATCCAGCTTTTCCTCAACAGGCCACAACCAAGAACTGAACCACCAACTTTCCAACTGATGGATGACCTGTTCTATCTTCTGAGCAAAATGAACCTCTAGTAATGTGACGTCATCTGAATACAGTGCATCAAATGATAAAGGACTCACTACTGCCCCCCTGAGGCTTGTAACATATAATCACCAACACACTTCATCCCAGAGGGTCAAATACTGTTGTTCTGTAAGCTGCAAGTTTGTAATTCCTGTCAATAATTAGGATGTAAACTCATCCAAGTTAAGGAAGTTTAGGGCTTTGTGTTCACTCACTAATTTGTCTCACTTTCACAGGATGGATTCAAGCTTCAAAATTACCTGGTAAACTTGTGCGCTGAAAAAATATTTGAAGCCAAATGACTTTTTATGTGTTTTGGCAAAGAAAACCTTTACAAGTGTCCACATGTCATGAACTGGGAGTCTCAATATTTCTGTCCAAAACGCTAAGTTTCTGTTTTATCCTGTGAAAGAGAACATTCAGCAACCAGGGCTGTTTTTTTATTCCTAGTTATTACAGGTATTGTAAACTTTTGGTTTTACAAAAATATGTAAATTTGCATAAAAGTTTTTTGAGATGAAGACTAGCTGGTTAGTTTGACAAACTTGGCTAACCTCTACTCCTGACACAGAGAGCAACGTAAAGCCGCTTCTTGGAACATATGCATGAATACTGCTTCTACTTACGTTATATTTTCTCTTTGTATTTAATTTCAAACCATTGTTTTACACTGATCCGCCAGCTTCATGAGCCTAACTTTTATCCTCGTCAGGCTGGAAGATCCTCGACAGCTGAGGGAAGCCTAATGTTTTACAGATTCAAAGAGACCGGTAAACTCTGGGCATGGGGAAGCCATTAAACGAGCCATTATTGGACACGAACACAACAGTATAAACGGCGGTTTATAAACACAGAAAGAAAATATTTAGTAAAGATTTTGCAGTTTACTGCTCTGTTGCAGTGCTGCAGAAGTGACCTCTTTCTTGTTAGATGTAAATGTCATTACAGATGGCTGACATTCAGTAAAAGGACAGAGCAGAAGCTCACAAACTGACAAAAGAAGCAAACGGGGAACGTGCTCTTCACAGCGCAGCAGAGAAGATTCTAGTTCTTTAAGCCAGAACCCAAAACTCCTTCAAGCCTCCGGGTGCTGTGTGTGAAGGGAATGAGATGCACTGTACTTAATTAAGAAACAAGCTTCTGATTAATAGATTCAAAGCAACAAAGATGAAGTGCCCAAACAGGGATAAACAGAGAAGACAGAAGTGCATCTGGCTGCTTGATCACAGAACATGAACATGTGAAAAGTTTTACAGGATATCTCTTCAGTTCTCACGGCAATAAAAAAAACCCACCAGAAAACATCATGCTCATTCATTCGCGTTTTTAAAAGGTCAGTTGTTTATTCGAGCATTACAGTTTTCATGCAGTACAGTGCTCCGTGCGTGGTTGTGCACTCTTGCATGAAAGGTGATTTTTTTCCAAATGGCCTACTTACGCTTAGATGGTACCTTTTGTTGACCTTGAAGCCCTTGGATGACAGTGAAAAACAACTTTATATTTCATAACTGCAGAAGCCACACACACATCTCTCTCTATTACACACACACACCATCACTCTTTATAGTCACACCTGCTCCACATGGCTCATGCCCTTTACACCACAAAGAAACTTTTAAAAGCACATCAGGCTTTAGGTCATATGTATGTCATACTGCTGAACCAATGAATGAATCCCATCTGTAAATCATTGCTGCAGGTCATTTATATATATATTACAGCAACCTTAGAGTATATGGACAATGATTAGTGAAGGCCCAGGCAAACAAACATTGGAAACATCTATAATCTTGAAACAGGGAAATGTAAATTATCCCAGACTGCAAGGCACTGTGGACTTTGGCAGTAACTTTGTTTCTATCTTTATCTGCTGGAGTCAGAAAAGAAAAAAAAGTTTAAATTAAGAAATAAAAGATAACAATTCCCATATGTTTAAGTGTTGCTTAGAATTCTGAGTATATTAAATGGTACAGTCCATGAATGTTGTAAAGTAAATTAGTTATTATGTTCTGTATTTTTAAGAGATATAGCTTCGTCCCACAAGCCCCACACAATGGGCCGCCATGTTTGACTTCAGGTTTTGCTGCTGTTCTCTGGGCCTCTTTCACGCCACTGTCCGCATGCGCACATGGAAGAGCAGGAAGGTCTTGCTGACAAATATAAACTGCTACAGTGAGAAATAGCTTTTTGAGATTTCCCTTTTTCTGAAGCTGGAACATGGCATGTAATTTATATGAATGGATTAAAAAAATGTTAGAGGTGAGAATAGAGACATTGGAGTGGCTATGCCAAAGCAAACAGGGAAATGACAGCAGTTGTATGGCTCCATATGTGAAGGAGGTTTCTATACAATCTATGCAACACATGTCATCTTTGGATTTGTGATTCCTGATATTGTCATGTGTTGAGCATTATTCATTTTGTAAGTGCCTTTTCTTTCCTGCATAGAATTCAAGGGCACACAGCTTACCACTTCTTCTTAAAAGGAAAGACCAAAACGGACAAATGTCACAAGAATGCAATTCACACGTGTCAAATTCAATTTAGTGTCCTCAAATTCCTCCTGATCACTGCTGTCATGTCCCCCTTCGGACCGAGCCAGAGCTGCAACACACTTCATCATCCCAAAGGTTGAGACAAAAATCCATTTCAACACGGGGTCTTTACAGGGTTATCAGCAGCCCCAGAGACGGAGGCGAAATAACATCCGGTCCTTCTGTGCTGAATGAACTATGGAACTGTTTGGCAGTGAATGGGCTGCTATTAACCTGCTACACTGATTGTGTGAGAAGAATGTTACCTTCGAGCAGTGGAGGAGATTACATTCAGTGAGTGCCGTGAAATTGAATTCAGAAAATGTGCAGACTACAATGACTTACTTAGATTTACTTACAAGATTTATGACACCTTCTCCATGGTCGAACAGCTGCTGAATGCATATTCCTGACAGGATATATTTTTTAAGCTTAGTTAGCGACTGATAATCCTGCAAGCCAGACTGATTTTCTCACCTGAGCTCAGGTCTTAAAAAATGCCATTCACTGGTGTGAGGTTCATTAGAAGCAGTCTTTTGTTCTTCCACACTATCATTTTGCCAGGATGATAGTTCTGCACTTAGCACCATTTATGAATTTCAAAGGATTCTGCCAAGTATTCACAGTCCAATTTTGCTGTTTATAACTCAAGGGATTAGAATTACTTCATCGTGCCAACAATACCATGGCCCAGTTTACAAAGTAAGTCACTGCCATGCTAGAAAGAACTGGTGTGTTGTTTCAGATAAACAGTGAAGAAACAAACTGAAATCTAATTCAAATTCAAATTCAAATTCAAATTTTATTTGTCACGTACACAGTCATACACAGTACGATATGTAGTGAAATGCTTGGACAACTGCTCGTGACCTAAAGAAAACAAAAAAGGAAAAGGCTATGAATAAGATAGGAAATAAATATGAAAAATTAAAAAGGGTAAATTTAACTAGGAAGGAATAAAATATAAATTAAGGTTAAAAATGAAATAACTGTACAACACAAATTAGAATGAAGGGTAAATTTAACTGGGAAGAATAAGATAAAATATATAAATTAAAGTTGAAAATAAAATAACTGTACAACAAAATACACAATATAGAACTATATAAGAATGTATGAAGAAATATAAATAAATATATACACAATAACAGCAGCTGTACAAGTATTAACCGGAAATGAAGAATATAGTGACCAGTGTTGTGCAAAAACAAAGTCCAGAAAGTCCAGTGTGTGTGTAAGAACTATATGTGTGGGTCAGTACTGTGTGGTGGTGTGATTGAGAGACCGTATCGCCAACTATTATATAACCGTATCAATCAACTATTCAAATTAAATAAGAAAAGCACGACAGGTATACTGGAGCACAATGTTAGAGGGCAGGGATAGCTCAGTAGGTAGAGTGGTCGGTGGTTCGACTCCACTGAACGGCTACCCTGAGGTACCCCTGAGCAAGGTGCCGTCCCTACACACTGCTCCCCGGGCGCTGCACTGGTGGCTGCCCACTGCTTCACTGGGTGAATGGGTTAAATGCAGAGGAACTATTTCCCTATGGGGACTAACACGCACACTTTACACTTTACTTTACACTTCATTTTATCAGCATGAAATTTCACAATAATAATCCTTAATTGCAGAGAAAACATTCAAGTAGGAGGATTTAAAAAATATATACTTGTATTTATTCATTTATTTATTTTAAGAAAACTGGTTGTAACACTTTCTTATTGTTTAAAGATGTCAGATATAAAAAATTATGTTTTTGCCAAGTTGTATCATTACCAAGTGAAAACCTCTGAGGATGAAAAATGAAGCCATAGCAGCATTGCCAAAAACGACTGTTTTGAGGCTGGTTTAGAGGCCATGGGTCCTGATACGCTCCCATATTAAAATGCCCAGCTTCAGCTCTGTAACTAACTGTAACGGTCCTGGGTCGTTTGACCCAGTGCTTTGAGTTTTATTTTGATGGTCTATGTTTAAGTTCATTTATGTCATGTCCGTGGTCCTGTGTGTGATGCGCGGGTAGCCACACCCCCAGGCTGGGCCATCACCGGCACACCTGCTCTCCATCGGGGTGATTACCTGAAGAGCTACTTAATAACCCGGCGCTGACGGATGCTCCACGCCAGTCCGTTAATCACCTCTCTGTGGTAACTAGACTCCCGCGAAAGCGTTGCATTACTATCTTGTTGGAGCTGCGTTAAATCTGCCTACTTGTGTCTAGGTTTCGATCCGGCGTTCAGCGTCTGCCACCTGCCTGTCCTCCTGCTCAATTGGATCACCCGGTGCATCATCTGGCCCATCCACTACCTCCACGGATTTCCCTCTCACGGACTTCCCTCCCCAGCTCCCACGGTCCCGCTCTAATCGTAAGCCAACTGGTCTAACTCAGTTTTGATGTGTTTCCTCCGCTTCCCGGCTCCCTAGTAATCTTCTCCCCTTTCTGTTGCAGTCTCCCACGGTCCTCGCATCATTGTTTCCCGGGTTTTGTAGTTCCTCGTTTTGCTCCTTTGGTTTTCGCCTTCTGTTATTATAATAAAGTGTCCTTTTCTGCTAACGCTTGAGTCTGCGTTTGGATCCTTTTGTGCACGCGCGCCGCGGCGCATGACAATTTAGTTACCTTATGCCCCTACGTTGCCCAGTTATAGTTCATTTTTATTAGATTCCCCTTATGTCTTCACCCCTTGTGTTTAAGTCGCCCTTCATGTGGTTCATTGATGCCTTTCTCTCCCATCTGCTCCTCTTGTTTACATGTTTTCCACTTGTGATGCATTCCTTCTGTCATGTGTTTCCCCCCAGCCATCATGTTCTGTTTGTGCTTAGTTATGTCCGTGTCTCATCCCCAGTCCCCTTTCCCTCTCTGTATTCATAATGTGTGTGTCCCTCAACAGTCCGTGTGTCATGTCTGCGTCCTGTTATGTTTCCTGTTTTATTTTGAAGAGGTCTGGCGTTCTATGTTCAGTGTATTTAGTTTCACTTCCCCTGATCACCTCCTGTGTGTATTTAGTCTCGGAGTTTTCACTCATTCCTTGTCCGGTTGTCTGCTTTCCTGCTATGTGTGCTTGTTACTACATCCATGTTTCCAGGGATTTCGTGTATTTATGTCAAGTCTTCACGTTCCAGGTTTTTCATGCCGGGTTTCCACGTTCATGTTCCAGTTTTTTGTGTTATCGTTGGATCACCCAGTTTAGGTTATAGTTTAGTTTCACACTTGCCCTTCTGTTTTGTATTGTTCCACCGGCCTTGAATAAATGGCTCGTTTTTTTGTCAAGCTCAAGTTTTGTTCTTTCGGATGTCAGGACTTGGGTCCTCCTCCTCACTCCATACAGTCTGCTTCAGCCAGATTGTGACACTAACATGTGCACAAGCTGGTGCGAAAAACTGTCTTGGTGGATTTATGAGGTTGTGTTTGTTTGTTTTTGTCTCTCAGTTTATTGTTTTAACTTGATGGTTTAAAGCAGAATATATCTTAAAATTAAATATGCAAAAATGCCCAAACACTTGAACTCTAGTGTGGGTACATTTACTCAAGAACTGTGCTTACTAAATGCAAAAAATACGCTTATTTTACTGTAAATCTTTTCCACCATGTTCACAGCTGTGGATAATATAAAACCTATAATGTGCTTTAAAAACACTTATGCAGTGCTTTAAATTAAACCACTCAGAAGTAGAGAATATATGAGAAATTTAGCTTGTTATTGTGGTGTTGAGGTCACTTTAGTGTGTAAAGATTTATGCATGATTGTCTTTTAAACAATCTAATCTTTGGTGAAAACTTCACATTATTTAAATTCGGTTTAAAAATACCTTGGACAGATGCTTTGCTGTTTCCGGTCATTGGGCCAGATGCTTGTCTCTGCAAAAATGAGAAGAGAAACAATGAGCAATTAAAAGTTACAATTAACATCAGCCTGAGACGCTACATGTAAACCTGCCTTCAACCCAAAATATGTTGTTCATTCCCCCAAGTACCAATCTGATCGTTTCCTGGACCAAAACAAGCATCTGCTATAGTCACACAGATGTGAGCAACAC